TTACTTGCTTTTTTCTATATATGATATGTGTGTTAAAATGTGTGTTAATATAATAATGTCTTTATATTTCAATTGTAGATATTATAACACTAATAAGAAAAGTAATAGCATATAATCATACTGCTCTTACTGTTAAGGAATATGGATCAGTATCACTTATTCCAGATTTTAATATTGTGAATTCTATCAGAAATGAATCACCTGATTCTGAAATACAATGGTCCCATAATGGAATTTTTGTATTGCAAAACAAACAAGATAGATTTGAAATCAAAGATTATGAAATCAGTATGTAATGTAATATTAGTATAATGATTATTTAATATTAGTATAATGATTATTTAATATTAGTATAATGATATAAGTAATAATATTAGTATAATGTATATTAGTATGATTATTTATCTGAAAATATGCAAAATATATAAATTTATTCATTTTTGCAGTAATATCTAAAGCAATCTTAAATGATTCAGGTGTATATACACTTACTTTACATCGAATAGATGGAACATATATGATAATTAAAGTGATCACTTTGGCAGTAATTCCTATTAAAGAAAACATTATAATTCGCGAGACTTTACCTATGCATGTAACATGTCACTGTGCTGTCCTTGGTTATATATATTCTGATTTGAAAATTTATTGGATGATTAACGATAGAATATGGAAGAATTATGGAGTTACATTGCCTACAGCTATTAATACCGATTACATTCCTCTTATAAATAAATCTCATCATGGTATATGGAAATGTATTGTGGAACAAATTGAGCTAAATTTTAAGTGGACAACAAATGTAATCCACGTAAAAGGTAACAAAATAATACATATAACAAAAAAAAATCTTGTCTCTATTTATAACAATTCGATCAAGTAGCACCAAGTATTATTTTTATAAAATTTTTTTATTTAAATAAAATTTTATCATTTACTTTATATTGTTATTCTTTAATTCTTTGTGATGAAAACTTAATTGGCAATATATAAATCCATTTTGTGATGTAATAATATTTTAAAGCTCATTATTTTCATAATTATCAATAATTATCACTGTTAGAAAAGGAAGGGTTTTGAATGGATAGAAAGATATACATATCATTTAGTTTTAATTCATTAAAAAAAATTATGTTATGAAATTGTCATACTTAATTTAATTCTAGTTGATCAAATTAAAAAATAAAATTTAAATGACAGTATCTTTGTAATCTTTAAACTTTCAAGATTCCTTATTGAAATCCTTTGCTTTCGTGTCTTCTAAAAGTTAATTTAAATATTCAAAGGAAAAATAATATTTGTAATTCCAACAAATTTTTTTGATTTTTATACATTATTTTGGAGACTATGTCAATATGTGAAAGAAAAGATTTATGTAAACCATTATGTAACACATTAATTCTAGAAAGAATAATTGATTTGATTAATAAAATTTTTATTAATTCAATTTCAGAATATAAAAGAATATGTTCTTTTGCTAGAGAGATGATATAACATATTCTTTGCAGAAATAAGAACATTTTTCTGAAAATAAATGATATTTCTTTAAATTATTATTATTATAGAATCCATTGTACTTTAACATGAGATATTATTTGTATTTTCATTTGGACAAGTTCTTGGGCCTCCAAATTGGCGTACTCATTTAATGGAAGATAAGCTAACACAACCAATTTTTGGATGGATGCCAAGCGAGAAATTTGTTGCTTATACAATTTTGGTTATAATTATAATTCTGTTTCTGATATGCTGCATAATAATAGGTTTGATACTTTATTTCAGGTAATGCTTAATTATGCAATAATTTAGTTATTGTTAGATATTAGTAGAATATAAATTAGAATTCTAAGTACTTCTTTATTTCGTTTCCATATTTGGTCAAATAGTTGCTTTTACAATTTTAATATTTTATTATTAAGGAAATCAATAAAATTTTTCCTTATCCTATTTAATAAGTGGCAGATGTTGTAAAACTGAAAAGTACCTGTAACAGAGATGAAAATAACACGTATGTTTTTACTTATACTGTTTTGTGTACGTGTATGCAAGTGTGTGTGTGTGTGTGTGTAATATCCTAAAATTCCTCCATACAGACTATACTATAATGTGATTCTCTATGCTGAAAGAAGCAATTTTTCTTTTAGCAAAATTGAATCTAACAAATAATTACCGGACTTCTAAACGTCTTTTAATTAGCATTATATACTATTAATATTATATAACATCGTTAATAAATTTAACAAACAATTCATTATTTTATCAATTGTTTCCAAAGTAGTAGATTGGAATAATAAAATTAAATCAATCCATGATAAAATATCAGAAAGGAATTTATTTATTGACATACAATGATACTGATAAATAAGTAAGATTTCATTTATTAAGTATGAAAATTAGATGTCTGACACGAAATGCAATTATTTTACAATTTGAAATTTCATACAATTTAAAATTTTTAAATATTTAATATTAAACGATAATTTTCCGGCAGTTCGAATTATTCATAGTTCAAAATATATGAACAAAATATAGATATATGTGAATCAAGTCGGATGAAGGAAGGATGAATGAAAGAAAAAAGAATCTTGTGAAAGAGAAAGAGAATACGAGGGTTCACTCTGTGCCTCCAGGGCGGAAAAGATTTGCTTTACAAGGAGAAGTGATTCGTGGAGAATGAGTAGTTGCCAGCAGATCGGTAGGACAGGCCTGAGGGAAATACAACGAAAACAGAGAAAAAGGATGATGGAGGCTATTTGCTGGAAACAGTAGAAAAGACAAGAACAGATGTCTTAAGAAGATGGAAAGAAAAGAAGAGAGAAAGAGAGAAAAATAGTGAGAAGGTGTAACTATGAGAAGGATAGAGAGAGAAAGCAGAGAGCGACAGGTGCACTGGCGCCCACGTGGGTTCTTTGAAGCGGATGGTGGAAGAAAGAAGAAGAAGAAGAAGATAACGATGACGACAACGACGAAGAGGACGAAGAAGACGAAGAGGATTACCGACCGGCTTCCTTATGCCTGCTGAACAGACCGGCACTCGCTCTACACTCGAGTTGCCCTCATGCCAAGTATACATGGTGGGGTAGATATTGCACTGGCGTAGAGTCTATTTTTCTGGATAAATACGTCTACTTGCTGAATAAATTATATTTTCTTTCATGATTACGTACTGATGTCTATAAATGTATTTATTATTTATTAAACAAAGGATCATAGGTCATAGGTATTATGAAGATATTAATGACTTTTATATCGTATTTATCTTTTAATTTTATGATTACGCGAATATTATAAATTTCTCGTATTTCATTCATTCGAAGATATTGTTAACAGTGACTCAATCGCGTGACACCAAATTGATGAAGAGTGTGGAGAAATCCAGTCGAGACCAGTTGAATATCCCTAAGGCTATTTCTTGACTACGCCGATGAAAAAGACCGCGGCAAGATCTCGGTGTGGCGAGTGGGAAAAGGTAGTTTTAAGAGGGGGAAGGGCTAACCATTCGGTAGCAAATGCTGGTAACCCGTCGCAAGGTCAAGATCAGTCGGTTAATCCCGTCCAGTAGGCTGAGGGCCTTGTACCTTGCGCGACGAATAATTCTCTGTTCGTTCGCATTCTCGTTACATATATATGTGTTATTTCACTCTCGATACGCAAAATAAATTAATGTAAAATTAACAAATCATCATTGCGACACATAATACATTCTTGAAATTAAACTGATTATGTTTAAAGAATAGTATAATTCTGCGTTGAAACTTGTCAGAAATGAACTTTTTCTTTGACACGCGATATTTTATTTGAAAATCTTGTGTCTCACAGGAATGTAGTAAATGTATCGGAATTTTATTCTGTAAATATCTTTCAATAGCCATATTAATTATCAAATGTATTCAAAATAATTATTTGTAAGGTGGAAGTATTATTATAGTGTGATAAAATCCTAAAATACTTCTCACGCGAGTCTCTGTTATGGAAACTTGCGTCTTGATACCTAAAGAATTCTCCTTGGTTCTTACCAACGATCAGTCATCTTGTAAGAGACACTTCAAAAATGATTCGAGTACGTTGGATATAAGGATTTCGGTATGGTCGAATGTATTCATCCCATCGGGAACGCTTATTTATCCATTTCAAGGATCAATTAGATTCGACAAGATAGATCTTTATTCTCTCCTCGACGATAATGATGTAAGTACGAACGCTGTATATTTTTCACAAATATTTTATATTTTATGTAGTTTATGTAGTGTTAAAAAGTGTTTTTCATTTAATATTTTATAAAATAATTCAAGTATTTTACAGTATAATAAGAAATACTTACATTTTCAGTATATTTATATATATTCACATGTATATCTTTTTAAAAAAGGTAAAAGAGGCTCTAAATGTACGCGCAATATACATAAAAAACTGTTATTTAATACGATAAACACTCTTTACACAAAATAAATTATTTTTATTGAAAAATTTTAAAAAACGTTATATAAAACTTTACCTTTTTACAAAAAGAAATAAAAAACACATTAACACGCGTCGAATGTTGCAGAAAAAAAATCTTATGTAATCTTAAGAAATTTGATACCACACACAATAACTATATTAAATTTTATTAATTATAAATTGACGCAAATGCTTAATATCAAACCTTTTGTAAAAAAAATTTTATTAGTTTTTCTCTACATATCCTATAAATGAAGATATTAAAACACAAAGTCAAAGTTAAAGGGAAATTTATATTTGAGAAATAATAGTATAATAATATAATTCGTATTTTAATATACATCCATCTTTTATATCAGAGTTTTAGTTTTTTAAGCCTTTATAATTTGCAATGAAATCTGCAAAATAATCCCAATTTTATTATATTATAAAAATTTTGCGCGCGCGCGCGCATATGCGTGCGCGCG